TAAATAAAAAATACATTACATTTTGGGTCTGCAGGGTTTTATCCAATGGTATATTTAAATTGGTTGTATAATTATTATTAATTAAGCAAATAAATTAACATATTATTAGTGTTTCACATGAATTAGTTGATATAGCAAAAATTCTTAGCATTAGAAATCTTTATTACTACTTCAGCTGTAAATATTAGCTACAATGCTATTGTACTATCAGTGTTTGTGTTCGAGTCTTCATAACAACAGATTTTTCAAAATACTCTGTACGTGAATATTATCAGTAGCCTGTAATATATCGAGTACAGTTCTTTCATCTCTGTTTCAAATCAGTACTTTTCATCATATCAACAATGGTAGCTGTTGTGTTACAGTTTAAAACACATACACTGCTGTTTAACTGTAAACATACTGTAGATAAATGTTTGATGTTACAGCTTACATATTTGTAATGCAGTTCATAGATAAACACCACTGTTTAACTGACTTAGTAATGCAGTTCATAGATAAACACCACTGTTTAACTGATTTAGTAATGCAATTTAAAGATACATACTACTGTTTAACTGACTTGGTAATGCAGTTTATAGATAAACACTACTGTTTAGCAGACTTGGTAATGCAGTTTATAGATAAACACTACTGTTTAACTGACTTGGTAATGTAGTTTATAGATAAACACTACTGTTTAACAGACTTGGTAATGCAGTTTATAGATAAACACTACTGTTTAACAGACTTGGTAATGCAGTTTACAGATAAACACTACAGTTTAACATATTTGGTACTGCAGTTTGTAGATAAACACTACTGTTTAACAGATTTGGTAATGCAGTTTATAGATAAACACTACTGTTTAACAGACTTGGTAATGCAGTTTATAGATAAACACTACTATTTAACCTATTTGGTACTGCAGTATCTTTATAAACACTACTATTTAACTGACTTGGTAATGCAGTTTACAGATACACACTACTGTTTAACTGACTTGGTAATGCAGTTTACAGATACACATTACTGTTTTACTGACTTGGTAATGCAGTTTACAGATACACATTACTGTTTTACTGACTTGGTAATGCAGTTTACAGATACACATTACTGTTTTACTGACTTGGTAATGCAGTTTACAGATACACACTACTGTTTAACTGACTTGGTAATGCAGTTTACAGATACACATTACTGTTTTACTGACTTGGTAATGCAGTTTACAGATACATACCACTGTTTAACTGACTTGGTAATGCAGTTTACAGATACACACTGCTGTTTATTAGACTTGGTAATGCAGTTTGCAGATACACACTGCTGTTTATTAGACTTGGTAATGCAGTTTACACATTATTGTCTATCAGTCAAACAAAAGTATAAAGTATTCATGTAAAAAACTAATATAAAAGCCCAAATATACTATATATATATATATATATAG